TTTCATTTTTTCATTGTTTCATATGTGAATGACGTCTGTTGTGATCTGGATGGGAATTAATTTGGATATCCCTTATTTTTAGATTTTCAATAAGTACTTAATTAAATATAGCCATCATCTACTAGATAAAATATGCCCTACTGCATCTTTAGTTATGTTATCAGTTATGAATATCCTCTGTAGAAATTTCACAATCTTATCATTAACCAGACACTCAAACATGCATTGATTGGGTTAAACTCCAGTTCAGCATTGAGGGACTGTTGTTACATTTTGTATTTGATAGAACTGATAGAACCCTGTAGTCAGTATGACAAACATAAATACTTATTGTCTGAATTCTATTTATTTTTTAGAGGGGACTGAGAATAGAAAATTATATTGAGAATTTGATTCTTTCAGTTTCTACCACAGAACTGCAAAAAAAAAAAAAAAAAGACAGCAAGCTGCAAAATGGTGAAGATTTTAGGTATAGAACTTGCACCTCTGAGCATTCCACTGGAGAGACGAATACAAACAGCCGTGGCACTTTACTGGACACTTACTTTTCTTCTGGAAGGATTTGGATGTCTTTTCTTACTGATATATCTCTGCTTCACAAGGTTCTACTGGATTCCCTGCCTTTATCTTATTTGGTACATATATGACTATGACCAGGCAGCAAGGGGAGGCAGGAGATGTGAGTGGATTCGACGTTGGAAAATTTGGGAATATTTCCGTGATTATTTCCCCGTGAAGTTGATCAAGACTGTAGATCTTCCTCCTGACAGGAACTATTTGTTTTGTTTTCACCCTCATGGAGTGATGTGTGCTGGTGCTTTCTGTAATTTTGCCACTGCTGCCACTGGTTTCAGTGAACTGTTCCCAGGCTTGACGTCTTATCTGCTGGTATTGAAGGGACAGTTTCAGTTCCCTCTGCACAGAGAGTACTTTATGACTTCAGGTTTGTGATTTTTATAGAGTTTTCTTTTTTCCTGGCATAAATTATGTAAATTATTTATTTATTTGGCAGATTTTTAGAAAATTAAGATGTTTGATTGGTTAATATAATAGCATCTTCTTTCTTCCTTTTTCAGTGGAAAAAAGCTTTCTTAGTGTGTCATGAAATTTTAATAATTATCTTACTGAATTTGCCATTGCACTGAATAATGTAAAACAAAGTAACAATCACAACTGTCTGATTGATGTTCATTTTGAATTAAATTACTGTTTTGAAAGGAAACAGAAAAAAAATTCTAAAAAAAACATACATTTGTATTCATTTTTAGGAGCCTGTGACTGTACCAAGGAGAGTTTGGAGTACCTGTTAACACACGGAAAGGGGAACGCCCCTGTCCTGGTGGTGGGTGGGGCACTGGAGGCCCTCAATGCTCACCCAGGAAAATACAGCCTCAACCTGAGTCATAGGAAGGGCTTCGTGCGCATGGCCATGAAACTTGGGTAAATGTCACCACTCTTAGGCAATTAAGATGCACCTTACTGCATTGAAACTTACAAAAAAGTATTTATTTATTACTTAAATTATTATAAATGCTAATATGATTTCATGATTTTTATTATAATTTATTTAATTTATTTCTGCACCTTTGAAAAAAATCAAAATCAAATTGGCTTTCAGTGATGATTACTGTGACTTTAATTGTGTTGACATATTCATAATTGTCTTGTCTTTCCAGTGTGCCATTGGTTCCAGTTTTCTCATTTGGAGAGAATGACCTATTTGTACAGGTCAACAATCCCCCGGGATCCTTCCTGAGACGTCTCCAGGAGACCCTGATGAAGTACTGTGGCTTCAGTTTGCCTGCTTTTCATGGCAGAGGAGTGTTCAACTATACATTTGGTATAGTGCCCTTTAGGAAACCAGTCAATACTGTTGGTGAGGACAATGTATTATTGACATAGAGAACTTTGGAGATTTTTTTTTTTTTTTTTTTTGAAATAGAGGCACACAAACATACAAGTAATATATGTAGTGATAAGTTTATCCACTAATTTTTCAAACTTTTTTCTTTCAATCAAACTTTTCATTTCAGAATTTATAAGAAACTTAAAGTGAATTATCCTAAAGATAATAGTATATAAAATGATAAAAGTAAAAAAAATGTGAACTGGATATCATACACTCTTTATTTTCATGATAAAATCTCTGTCATCATTTCTCTCAAAGTGGTTAAGTAACCTGTAAGTAACATAATTTCTGCTTCTTTTCCTCACAGTTGGTAGACCCATTGAAGTAGAAAAGAACGAGAATCCAAGTAAAGAACAAGTTGAAGATGTACACGCCAAATACGTGGCTGCCCTGCAGCAGTTGTTTGAGGACAATAAGAAGCAGTATGGTCTGGATGAGATGCAGCATATAATAATACAGTAGGGGACAAAAGCTTTACGCGAGTTAAAAGTTATCCACATGGAGCGAGACCTTTTTTTTTTTTTTTTTTTTTTTTGTAATATGAAATATGCACAAAGTAGCATTGTGGCAAGGATTGCATTGCTATCTCACCTAACACATTTAGATTGTCATATTGAAATAGATTCTTCACATAATAAAGGAAAGTGCTATTTTCAATGGATTCGGGGTAAGATTTTTTTTTCTTTTACCCAGGCCCATACCCGTAAGTTATACTAATAGGCATAAAAATTTAGTGCTTGCAACTTAAGTGGAGAAATTATCAAGTAGGTAGAGGATAATCAAGTAGACAGCTGGAAAATAATAAAAAAAAAACACTCTGTACCATCTAGGTAGTATTTCAATAAATATTTGATTTTTGTCTTGCAAGTTAAAAAAAACCAGCATTGCCTTCAATAAATTGTAAAAAAAGTTAAGTGAGATGAAAGGGTTTGTTGACACCCACTGGTATATCCCAGAATTAAGGTGCTCGTTGAAATAACGTGCTGTTTGTGTGTTGAGTTAAAATTTTGTCTGTTCTATGAAAAAAGGAGAACATTATGTGATAATTTTAATGTCCCCCAGTTTCTTTAAAAATTTAGAGTTAAACAGTTTTTGCCATTATATTTGCCATTGTCATACAGTTAATGGTTTGTGATAGGAATTTCAAACTGCTCAAAAACTGGACTGAACTAAGTTTTCTTAGTATTGTTGTGAACAGGAGTTTAATCATAAAGAAGTATATGTTATCCAATTTGATAGTATTTTTGATATAGATAAAATGTATATTTTTACTAAATAGATAAACTGAAACTGCCATTAAAGGAAAATTATGCTACTTATGGAAAGGATGTCCATTTTCCCCATTGTTGCCATTATTGTGTTCATTCTGACTTAAGAAGTTGAATTTTGTTGAAGCATTTGTGAGATTTTTGTGTAAACATTTATTGTTGCTGATTTTGTGAATGTACACTTTTATTTTGATTATGGAATGATATAAGCAAGTGATACTTCTTCATCTGAGTATGAGTAATTTGCACAAATTAAACTCGTCAGTGATTTTTGTCAACTTTGTATATTGTCATAAATCCACCATGAAGCTCTTGCTTTTACTGCACTGGTGTAATATCTACACATAAAATCAAAATGATATTTGAAATAAAACAATAATAATTAAAAGCTCTGTCACAGTACTGATTTATTGATCATGTATATTTAACTACAGAGTGACTTTCATGGATTTTCTGTTGTTTTAAATATTCCAAGGTTCTTTACATACACCCTGTGTTCCTTCTCCAGTTCTTTTGTCATATAAGTATCAGATGTGTACTGCCCTGCTTCTGAGCTTGGTGCTGATATTACTACAATTGAAATCCAAGGAAGGCATGAAGTTACGAAAATTAATGGAATAAATAATAGTAATAAAAAGCAACATTACAATATGTTTTTCATGCCATTTTTTGCCATGATTTTGTTTTTGTTCATTCACTGGATGTTTAAATACTAATAAGCTTATAATAATGACAAAAGGTCTTTTCAAAATTATCGTCTGCTTCGCTCTTGCTGCAAACAATTACCATGTTCTTTAAAACATAACGCAACTTGATTTGTGAAAATAATGGCGTCCCTGAATACCAATCTTAATTCCTGAATGCGTATCGTGGAGACTAGTTGGCGTCTGTTCTCCCAGGATAGCCATTACATTTGCCATTGGCATACATTTGGGGTGATGATTTAAAAATCTAAATCCTGACAGAGATGCGCCTGGGTGAGTACGAGACGCATCACGCATCAGAGTCCTCACGGTGCAAGGATGTTCTTTTTAAATTCGTAATTTCAGAATAAGATGCGAAAATAAATTGATGGAAATATCAAATAAAAAGTGCAGACTATTGCAGACGAGCGGAAAAGGCAAACATCTACAGTGTAACGATATGTCTACGGTCCGTTTGAATAGGTTTATAAATATAAGAATGTTAGAATTTTCAGACTTCGGAGAAAAAAATTAAAATCAGTGTACCGATTAAAATCTTATTGTTTCCCTTAAATTGTGTAAATTTCTTTTTTCTTTAATTATTTTAGTTCTAACATCAGTTTCATAGGGTCTGTTGATTCTTAAGCTTTAAGTTTGGCAAGGTGCATTCAGGAATATGCCAAAAAAATTTCATAATTTTTAAAAACTTTCTTCAGTCTCAAAAAAATTCACACTGTTAATACATTTATCCAATCAATTTTATCGTTTATATATTTTATCATTTATCTAATTATTAATTTTCTGGCGTTATCATGAACGTCGTTCCTACAGCATTTTTACACGATCCTTGTTTCGCACGCCAGCTCCGGGAGAACCCGACCATGGCTGATAAACTTTCCATCCTTCAGACATACTGGTTTCTTTGTACGTGGTGCGGTAGAGGCACATCTGTAGCATAGAAAAAGCGTTCACCAGAGGAACAGCGTCGCACACCACGTTGGCCGGAGGTGGGTAGGGCGACCGAGGTTTTTTCTTTTGGTATGTGGGACGGTTGTTCTGACTCCATTCTGTTGGTCCCAAGACTATCGGCACCAGTGTCTGGAAGGTTTTAGAGAAATGTTGTGAAAAAAAAATCTCAGCATTTATAAAAGTTTTATGCTGTGTATATTATAACAGAATTTTGGGAATCGGATCTGCAAAATTGCTCACATTTTTAGTTGGCAAAGTGAGTACATTACTTGTTACTTTATTCATCACCGTACCATGGGTGAGAGGAAAGAATTGACAAGGCAAATGCAGCTTTGATACAATCGGCAATCCTCGGCTCATTCCGCAAGCTCCATACTGACATTGTCGAGTGCGGAGACATCCGAGTAGTTCCGAGTGGCTTTGATATTCAGATGAGTTTAAACGAAGTTAACAACAACAACAATAAATAAATAAATAGACGCCATAATTTCATAATCAACAATAATGCTAATAATGAAATTTACTTAACTAATAGAAGCACATAAAATATAGATAAATAAAAAAATTGCACACTAACAAATAAAGATAATAAAGTATAAAAACAAGCATGTTTTGCACAACGGGGATGTATTGCTTTATGAATTCACCTGTATGAACAACACGTACAGAGAGAGAGACCTGTACCTTAGCCTTTTAACCAATTCTATCTGACAAAGTAACAAACATTTTTTCAGGTGCTTGGATCATGAATCTCATTACAAGAAATAAAAAAATCTTGAAAACAACGGGAGCTAATAGTGAAAATAAGCTTTAAAAAACGCAAAAATATTTAGTAAAATATGGAACACCGGCTTACTAATTTTATCTATTTGAAATAATTATTCTAAAACTTTTTTTAATTCATTTTTTTTTCTCATTGGTCCCCTGATGGCTATGTGTCAAACTGCATGGAGTCATACTCATGATGTTACAGTCAAACAGTCCTCTCCAGATCTGTAAATTATTACCCCCCATTTACTATGAAAGTTGTGTTTGATGAACGGGCTTGATTCGATAAAATACCTGTCTGATATTTTAACACTAGTTGTCATAATTTTAAAAACCACAGCGTTGTTAATAAATCAATTCTCCATTGTGGGAAACCCACAAATCACCATACAAATAGTGCAGTAAATTTCGCCTAGGCTAACCACACTTTAAGTTAATGTCTTAACATAAAAAACGGAGACCTTATAGTGATCAAATGCAGTACTATAGGTATAGTATTATAGGTATAGAGGTAAAGAATCGATGTACATGTACCAGTGCTATATTCTAAGTTTAATCCTGCTGTTTAAAAAGTTTTTGTAATGGCTGATTTTAAATGTCCATACACGACTTCGTTCCAGAACTCTTTTTACTCTGATAAAACCTTTAACCGGCGCACGTGCATTTTAGCGATTCAGTTTAAGAGATACACAGTTTATCTTGTAGTAATGTGCTCTGGTGTCTGGTTAACAGGTGTCTACCCACCGAAGCATGGAGAAATATACAGCATCGACTTGTAAATCGTCTTCCTCTTCATCTGCCTGTCACCGGCACCGTAATTTGGTTCTTATTTTAGTTCTCCCCACCTCTCTCCCTCTGACATAATTTTACGGTTACGGTAGTTATATCTATTGTGTTTTATTGATCAGATTGCCCTGGTTATTTATACCTATAGGCCTATATCTCTTATTTGTATAATATATACATAATCAAAGTAATTCCTCACCCTCCCCCCAAGACGGATCTAAGATATTTCTGTAAGAAAGGTGGGAAGAGACAGTCGCCTCCTTTTTACAAAGCCTTATGCGATAAATAAATAAATAAATAAATAAATATAGGAGATCTCATTTATCTGTACTCACCTTCCGTCTAGACCATCCCAAGCCGCTTCGTCGCTTAGTGGAGCACTCTAGTATATAGCCAATCTCCACACGCTCGGCCGCAGGGTCATTGGGAACTACACACGGTTCCAATTCCTTCGGGAACTTTAACCATACAAAAGACAGTCCACGTATATCAGATTTGGGCTTTCCGATCACAAACTCCGCCAGTAGGGAATGATCTGATATCCGTAACTCGTTCGCCAGTCTGAAGTTAACAATCTGGTAAAATTTGCATTTGATTTCCCTCTTAGAGAGTCGGTGTCCTATGGGTATCAGCGCTACTTCGTCTCTCTCGGGGACCCGCACCGACTCAATGAGCAATTTCTCTGAGCTGGCCGGGCAACACGCGAGTCCAGTGCAACAGAATTCGGTGCTGGAATCGGCTGTAACTTCGCCATACTTAAATATAGTAGAATCCAAACAACGCTGAACAAGAAAATACACTTTGGGCGTGGTCATAATTCTGGCACCGCTTGGTAGAGAGAGTTCAGCCACAGCGTAGTATACGACGCTGACCCTTTGCTGACCATTTGAGGACACATAGGTCATGGAGCTGGGGATGTCATCGGGCAGAGTGAACTGGAACGGTAAAGGTGCCCGGACCGCTATTTGTCCGAAGTCAAAGGACAGGCTCAAGACGTGCTCGCCCTGCGCGTACACCTCGCGCGTACGCTTCGATTTCCGAAACATCGTGGTGGGCTCCTGCAAGATGACGTACTCCCCCAGAACTTTAATCTTCACTCTGACGTCACACGGGTGACACAGGTCAAGCATCACGTGACCCGTGATGACGTCACCCGGATGATGCAGGTAGTACTCAGACAGGATGCCCTGGGAGTTGTGTGAAGTGAGCGTGTTTTCCGCGTTTAGTTTGAGCAGGTAGCTCGCGGGTGTGTCGATATAAGGGACTTGGACTACCCACTCCGGGATGTGACCGGCGATGTTGAGGTCGAAAGACTTCACAAGGTGGCCGAATTTACCTCTATAAGGCGGCGGCGGCGGCGTAACGCGTATTTCGGGGGGACTGGGCTGGCCTGGGCGACGGCAATATTTGAAAAAGTCCCCGGAAAGAGCATTTGAAGAGAGGTTCAGATTTCCGCCTGGAGTGTTGCGGTTTAACGTTGGTGATTTTTCCGTCATTTCTGCGACGGGATGGACGTTTTGGTACGCGCCTTGAGGTCGGTTGCAATATTTCATCATTTTCGTCTTTAACAATCAGTAACAATTAAAATGTGGGGTTGTTCTATTTCTTCTCATGTATATTGTACACCGTGATGCCTTCAGACATGTACCTCCTGTCTTCAACCATCAGTGTTGTGTGTTCCTCATCATTTTTCATTCTCAGAAAAGTTTGACTTCATCGATTGCATGTCAAAAGCAATTTGCTATCAGATCACGCCAAGGAGTGAAATTCATGTCAGGGATGAAAGATGACAAATTCAGTGAAATATAATGTTGAAATATACTGTATCTAGCCAAACTCTATCCAACAATATTCTCCTTTTCTTTCAATATTTGAAGTACTGTTTAATTTACTCTAGGCGGTCGTTGGTAATTATTACTCACAAGTCCCCAGTGGCATGAAAATAGACTTGTCCGCGGCGAGCAAGGGATCGATTCACAGTAGTCACCGGCTCTGTCGCGATGTCCCAGTGGCTTCAGATAAAGTACTGACTTTCTGTGAATATATTGAGTAGGCCAATCAAAATAGCAACGTTCTGCACATTTAGAAAGCAGTGTGCAAAATGTAAACAGTCAGTGCACAGCGTTACATGTTCTCTGCGATAAAGTCCCCTCTCTGGAGTGAATGTTTAATTATAACAGTCCGTACTTTAAATTTCAAATGTCGTATTCAGTCTGTGACAGTCTTAACGACCCATCAGGACGCTGAATAAAACGCTTTATTCATCCCAGGTTGATCCAAGTGTCACATTAATTTTAAAGTTGACATGTAAAACAGGTCGAGCATTGCGCGTTAATTGTGTCAATGTGGTGAAACCCTTAATGCAATGACACCTAGCTAGCATATACATATATACAGATCGTGTCAAATGCTGTTCCTCGTTTTAGCTCGGGGTTGCCTAGAGATACATATCGACTGCTATCACTACACTTTGAGGGAGGGGGCGCCACTTGGTGACGAGGTAAAGATCCAGACACGACCTAGACCCCATTCCCACAGGTTTTAGATCGATCTACCCCCGTAGGGAGTCTCACTAGATTACTGTCAGCTTAGCCGGCTTAAATGTCTGTCCCATCAACTAAAAGCTGAAAGGGGGTAATTAACTTCCGTGCGCGGTCGGCTGACAGCAATTTAGCGTGAACCCCCAGGGAGTTAGGTCGATCTAGTTGGATCGATCTAAATCTCTGGGAATGCTCTCTAAGAGAAGCGTGTTTCTGAGATACGCTCGCATTGTCTATTTAGATCAAATGTAGAGCATAATTTGTCTCCCCGACTTGTGCCAATATTATGTCGTGTCGCATAGAGGGCGCCCGGCAAGAGGTCATGTAGACCACTATAGTTTTAGGCCATTTAGACCACCAAACAGCAGTTGCCCTAAATTCCTTCCATATAAGCGTTTGCACGGAAGCCCTACCTGACAGAGAGAATAGACATGACTATCCCATTTATTCATTTATTTTCTTATTTTTTTGTTTCGTATGAATTATTTTAAAAAAAATCCTGGCACTGCAACGTCCCGTGAGCTAGTAATATTACTTTCTAACTGGTATTCCTAGCTTGGGAATATACTAGTACTGCAACACGTCAAGCTACGCCTTAAACAGTTTTACTGGCAAAATTGTGGTCCAGCGTACTTTCAATAGGTGTCAACAATATCTCTTATGTCCACGTTGTTCCACCAAACTGATGAATGGCTATTAGTAAAATCACTGGCCTTATGCTCAAATAATGTTTTTTAATTCAAGAGTATTTGGTGCAGCGATGCAAAAACTGGGGTATGTATAAAAAGAATGCATTTTCAGTCCTGACTACTGAAATATATAAGACATATTGTGTTGGAAGTGCACTCTATACTGAAAAGAGGAGACGTGTGTTATTTGTGTGAGTTTTTCAAAAACTTTATGATTTTATGGGTTCTGACCGTCTCTCTCTCTCTCTCTCTCTCTCAAGTTCTGCTAACATAGGTGGATATACCGTACATCACATGTGTAACAATAGTGCCACGCCTGTCGTGAATGAATATTCGTATTTCTTCAAGTAGTTTTCAAGTGTTTTAGACTACACCACGCCCGAATACTTTCAGTCCTTTTTAATTTTCCGTCATTTATAAACGAACATAATTCATTCGCATTTCTTCACTTTTGTTCAGGTAAATATTTAAAAAATGAATTCTGTGAAATAACACACGTAGAATACATGACACAAGATATCAACAGATAGAAATACAACAGACTCCGCATACCTCGTCACATCTTATTTTAAATTATCTTTATCTCCAACAAATCTAGTGGATCAGATTTTTCCCTTTGGTGTTTTTTTTAGTTTAAAAGTATATGAACGTTGCCCACCTCAAATCTCTGCGAAACTTGAATAATTTGTTCTGTCCCCAAGTGCCAGAGTTTGCGCAATATACTGTACAAAATATGAATAGTTTCACAATTAAGTTACGACTTTCACCCAGTCATAAACTGGTGATAACATTGCCACTTTTTAAATACTTGTTTATAACGAACTCGACAAAAAAGCAATATTTTACGCAATATTAATGCGGAAAAACTACTAACAAAAAACAACGTTTCTACTGACATTAACATGTTCGGCGATTACTTAACTACAACATCACTTAAGCCTAAAACGAAATTAAAATCATGGTTGCCCGAGGCTATACCGTGAGGGCACCTAAGACTCATTAGTGGCCGCATCATATTATTTCATTATTTCCCTGCATGCCCTGAGCGTACCAACAACCCTACTGACATCAGCTCATCAACCATTAATTACAATAACAACGTGTTGGTTGCGTAAAACCGAACGTCGCCATAGCAGTGCCCGTGAAAAGGTGCGCACGAACACGCTTTCATATTAACACACCTTCATTTATCTTTAAAACTTTAAAGTATCTGTCTATGATACACTTTCAAAATCGATCACGGATTGCCCATCACGCATCTGGGTGTTGAGTGATGAAATGGACAGCGTGTTGTGAAGAAGCTGTCTTCCAAGTCAGTGTTGTCAACCGGCTCCAAACAATACCTTTTCCCTTTTCACACATGGTATTTATCCACAAACAATGAACCTACCCAACAGCAAGCCATCCAAGTTGAATGATTTTCGCCTTACCCGAGCCATATCATATTATACTGAGGTAAAACCCTCATCCTTGGCTATATATCATATAGTGTGCGCTTCATTGATGTGATTATTAGTAAAATGCACGTGCTTTCCGTCCCTTCCATCTTCATCGTGCTCTGTCCCCAGTGTCTGTAGCGCTATCCAGGAGGACTCCGCGGAGCTCTTTGGACTGGGCACCTGCACTGCCACGTTCTGACACGACTGGGGGTGACACATGTCGTTGTCCACGACAATTAATACTCGACGTGGCGACGGGGACGATGATGCATTTGGTTCTGTGGATGAAATTATTGGAAAAGAATATTTAAAGATAATAACTAATTTCTTTTAAGATGGTTCAACAGTGATGAAAGCGATGTGAAGGTTAAATGCTTTAAAGTCACCATACAGGCAACCATATTTTTTCATTTTGCATATTTGAGCATTTGCAATTGTCGATATGCAATATTATCAAAATCACGTGTTTCTAGAGGTAATACATGTAGGAAACGGTTGCTGCCCGAATGCTTTATTTGTTTGCGCTTGTATCAACATTCTAGAGTTTTGACTCATATCATAATGTACATGTAGCACATGCACCAAATATCAACACAAATATGTACAACTTCATCACCCGCACAATTCCAAATTAAATACTGAGGTACTTCAACTTTAAAACATTCTACCTGTCGGAAAACTACACTCCGTACTTGTTCCCATCTCCGTCCTGCAGTATTCTGGATTTTGTTTTAACTTTCTGCAGCCGTATCCACACACCAAAGCTATCACAACAAAGCCCACAAGGCCTCCAAATACGCTGCCTATGGCAACAACGATGGTTCCAACTGAAAGAAAACAATGTGATATGGGTTCGATGAGGCAAGTATGTTTTTCTACTATTTAACCCAAGCTTTTCTGCTATTTAAAACCTAAATTCCGCCATCTTTCCCCTTCATCGAACAGAGGTCAATCGTACTTTATCTACAGAATCTCCTGCGCTTTATTTCGAATTTCAATATCGACACGTATTTTGAACTAATGACGTCTAACCGTTCCAAACTCTTTTTAATTAAAGAAGTCACAAAAAGGGCATACATCACAAAACTTGCGTAATTTGATACTTAAAATTCGCCCGTTTTGCCTTTAGGTACCTTTATTATCTTCGACTTCCTTTAGCGTGAAGGTGAAGTCGTACTTGGTGGTCCCAGGGGAGACTTCGATTATGAGGAACTTGCCGCCAGTGGTTAAAGGTTCGACTGGCGTCTTCACAGTGCAGCTGTAGGTAGCCTGAAAAAAGAACCACTTTACTATTCTTTAATTTTGTGACAATAAGAGTCATTGTCGCTGTCTGCTTCTTTAAGTTCCATCTGTGCAATCAGTCCCGGATTAACCGAAGGTGAAACTACCAAGTAGCTATGGTTTCTTCTTTTTTTATGTGATATATAAAACTTTCATATCTTTATTCACAAAAATAAGAAAAGAAAAAAGTTTGATAATGTATGTTCACTTGATTTTCATGCCGTTTTTCTGACAGACAATTTTCTATTATAGTAAGCTTCCAATTTTGGTTTGCACTATGAGAGGAAATGTTTTCACGCAAACTTACCAAGAGAGATGAGGTAGACGACACATCCCCATCGTGGAACGTCAGACTAGTATGGGACAAGCAGGGCATGTACAGCCGATGAAAAGTTATCTGGATCAGAAATCTCTGTCGAGCCGGAGATGTGCGAAAGTATAAGGAACATTTGGCTGGAGTCCGTAATTTGTGGTCTATCTTCCCCCACGCCCGCACCGTGGCGCCATCGTCTGTGACCACGTGATGCATGCTGTGAGAACAGTCGCGCGCAGAATTGTCCATAAAGAAAGCTGAAGCAGAGAAACAATGATATTTGCGTTAAGATGAACAGCATGATACTTCTTATATATCTCCACATTCTGAAAACCATCAAGATATGACCATTTTAATTGAAAGCCCAATATAATGAGCCAAACACAGATCAAAAGACGCACACTTAATAGACCAGGTGCCGTGTTGCAGTTGAGGACATATTTCTGCACGGGCTGCTTTTCATCGACGCTGATTACTTTCCAAAATATGAAATAGTAGAATGCGCGTAACTGTTCATCTTATAACTCCAATTATTGTTAACCATGACCTATTGGTCATCTTGAGGACATTTTTGTTTTCGTATAAGCTGAAATTTGTATGAACATTTCCCAAGTCGAAGATCTTGGTGGCTCGAACATATGTTTCGGCCCTTAAGTATCCGAGTTATGCAAATTCTACCTATATACAGTTAGAAAGTCCTCATCCGGGGAAATGTTCTTAGTTGACCTACTTGGTACAGACCAGCTAGGCCCGAATAATATGGTCTTATTGTGTAATAAAAATATAAATAATTTTCCAAAGTTTGTCATGTTGCACGACCCTGTGGTTGAATTGAACGGCATTTCTGTAATTGACAGGATTGCTTGTAACAATATTAAACTCGTGATGTGTCTGATAAAACGATGATTACAATTTGCTAATTATTTGAAGGGAACGCCTTCCCAGCTGACTGCGACGAAAAAAACGAATCGACAGTCAGAAAACTCATTCCAACACGTGAAACTATGCAAATGTTTAAGTCACTCTTCTTATTGATGAACGCAATGATCCGGGCTATGTTATTCAATAATCAGTAAATTGATTTCCCTGGGTACCTTGGAAAGGGCAAACTGCGTTATTTTTTGTTGAGCAAAATAACAATTTGGGTAGAACCGTAATTTCCTTAAACTGAGTTCCGAAGATAATCAAAATGTTTCCAACTGTGAAATGATTCAGACTTCATGGGACCCGATGCCAATCCTATTTCAAGGTTTTATTTTCTGATTATTTCCAATCTTTCCCCAATAACTGAAACATCAGGAAAACGTTCGAGAGAGAGAGAGAGAGAGAGAGAGAGAGAACTAGTGTGTACGAGTGTGTGCTTCCACGCGTTAGTGTGTGTCAGAGACAAAGACGGAGAAAAAGGATAAAGTGAGAGAGATTTTATATGTATGAGAGAGAAAGAGAGGGAGAGGGAGAGAGAGTGAGAGAAGTAGTGTGTGCGCAGGAGGGGGGGTTGCACGCGCGTGAATGTGTCATGAACAGAGAGAACGACGAAGTAAAGAGAGAGATTTACGTACTCTTGTGCTCTCCATGTGTGACTATAGGCGCACACAGCATAATGGCTACCACGTAGTGTGCGACAGCATATACGACGTCAAGGGTCATCACAGGCACTCTGCATGCTACCTGAAATATACACAACACGAAATATTAAACCTATATATATTATACCGTATAAAAAATTTTATTATTAATTTTATCCACTGTTGTTCACGTACATACATGTTGTGTAATACATTACCGTAAGTTGTAAAACATATGTGACCTGGTATAAAGTTACTAGTATGCAATATGGCCGCCATTTGACCCGAGCAAAACGTCCATGAGGTGTGTGTGACTCAAAGACGGAACGATATATTTTCGGGCGATCAATATTCACCCTAAAAGGCTAATTATCTCCCGTAAAAACACTGGGAGTGGATCAGCACGGTCATTCTGCCTAGCACAAATACGTATGGGCCGGTAAAAAGGTGTGGAGATTACGAGAGAAAGCATCCCAAGAAGCCACAGTCACAATGGTGAGAGTATAGGCCAATGTCGTTCTCCAAGCGGCGGCAAGTCTAGTGTTATAGCGGTTTAAAATTGTGCCGAAAATAAACAATTTCAGATTCAAATCATCTACAAAGATAAATCAATGTGCATTGTTGTCAAATGCGTCAACCTTACACAGCGTGTAACAAAGTGAATAAAGACAGGTGGAGTCTGCCTCTCTTGATTTAAATGTGACTGGTTTCCAATCTTGCCCTCGACCCAAAAGAGCTTTTTCAGTCGAAAATTATTGATTTTTTTCATTAAAATCGACCTTTTTTTATGCGTCATTAAGCTTACATAGTTATTTTCAAGATTTGTGTTGTATTGTAAAAAAAATTGACAGCATTATATCCTATATACGTATATGTTAAATCCATACATCTTACCTGGGAATAATGCCAGCCAGAACCTGTTTTTAACCAGGTCATGTAAAGCAGTGGTAAAAGCACATGAATTGTGATTACTCCCAAAGCAATTATTAATATACTCTCAGGGTTTCACATACACTCCTATAGAAAGGCTACATGACTCCATATGAATGGGAAAGGAATTTGGCAAGTTCATCCAGCGCCAGAGAAATAATATATAACGGAGTAATAGTTGTTGAATTATTAAATAAGATTGAATTGAATTGAATCAGTAAGGGCTGGGGTCGTGAAATGTTAAATGTCATACGATCTATAAGATCATAAAAGCAAATTAAAATGAAATAAGTGAAATACATGCAGGTTTACACAAAATGAAATTATTATACGCTATTTAATTTGTTAAAAAACAGAATAAATAGCATAAGTAGGGTGGAGGCAATAAAAAAAAGAAAATATTATTCTGTTTTTTTTTTTTTTTTAATTGACGATACGTTATTCTCCCTCAAAAGCCAACAGCGTTGACGCATTCTTACACCATTCTTGCGTCAATCACAGGAATATTCTCTGAGCGCGCCGAATCATGGATATACATATACCAGTTGCGGTTGGTCAAATCAATCTTATCTCTGAAGTACCTTTAGCAGAAAAACGTGATTTTGCATAAGCAATCAATCAAAGGACAAGACAGCCAAGAACTGCTCGCTGTATGAAGTCTCCAAATGGCATATGCAGACATCACGGAAATGTATATATTCATTGTTTACGAATATTCTATATTTTCCAAATCACACTGCTTGAATAATACCTTATCTGTTTTAAGTTTAGGGGATATTTGCACTAGTTCTTTTTTCTTTTTTCTTATCTTTGGATATTTGACGAGTACATGCACGGTTATTGGACAATTAATGCATAATTTCTCACCTTCGGTCATATGTTTGGTAACAATTCCTCACTGATATACACTGTAACCGCGTACAAGGATTTTATTACATGCTTAGACTACAGCTTCGTGTGAATGCTGCATTACGTTTGTCAGAGTGCTTTCAGGTTATTAATGAGAATCAATTAATGAGTTTCTTAAAATCCTTAAGTATTTGTATTCATGCCTAAACACGTACCTAATTAATACAAACTATTTATGCTGATATTATCTGTGATTTTTTTCACGAAACGTGAAACGAAACACTAATGATAGCTTACAGTAGAAGATCGATCAATTAAGACATGCAAATATGGTATATCTCAAATGCATGACGTAAGCAATTCCCAACGAAGTACTTTTCGCAAGATTATCTTTCAAACATGAGCTTAACATTTACCAAATTCATCGGTGAATTTAGCACTATTGCACCTACAGATGTAAGACTTCAAAAATAGAGAGAAATAAAAAAACACAGTTTCAACACAGATGCAACACGTGTTTGCAATATAACCATGTCCAAATTGATACGGCAAGGCAAGTATTTCTAGTATACAGTTTCAGCACATGCTGGGAATTCGTCTTGCTGAAGCCATCAAATTCGGCATATTTACCTTGATGTTGGGCGAAAAATCCAAATAATAACATATCCAGATGCGATTGAGATACAGCTGATGTAATAAACGGGCATCTTTCTGTGAGCATTAATTCAACCTACCATCTTCAAAATAAACCCTGCCAAGCAACGTACAAATGGACGACTCGCCATCACACGTTGGCCATTTATCTTGCTGGAGTAGTGATATCCTGTACAGTAACTAAGATGTTCGACGAGATCTGCAGCTCATTCTTTGTACAACATGGGATTAAGCGACAGCCAGTGTAATGTCCATTTGTAATCTGATATGATTAGGCTCAGTAGTGATTACAGCTTCTTGTTTAAATGGAATTCATTCCCCATGCACCTGTATGTGTATGTAGGGCACAAACCAAATCAAATCAAAACAGTGATATTGATATCTACAATAAATACATTTAGCAAAGTTGACGACTACATCTGCAATACTTGCACGTGCCTGATAATAACTTTTATTTACTTTTTAGAAAGATAGATTCTCACCTAAGAAATATAATATCAGGGCCGTAGCCTGAGCAAAATGCCAGGGGGGGCAGTAAGCGGACACGAGGGGGCAAAGCCCCCTGAGTGGGGAGGTTGTGGGAGGGGGTGTCCCACGGTGTGGAAAATTTTTAAAAACTGTATGTATAATACTGCATTCTGGTGCATTTTAACTGTTTTTTATTGCTCAATCAGAAGTCAGAAATTGCAATTGTTTTTTGCACCTCAAATCCCAGGGGGGGCAGCTGCCCCCCCTGCCCCCCCGGAGGCTACGGCCCTGAATATTAGCTACAGGGACAACAGTAAGCAATACATATGCATGCATATGTTTGGATTTTTTAAGCTACCACTGCTTTTACCATTGCCACAGGTCATGGTGCATTTTATGTGGGTTATAACCGGTGCGTTTACATTCATATCACTATTAAGAGTACAAAACATGAGGTTTTCTGCCAATAATATGAAAGAGCCAATGCAATTGAGGTCATGATGAATGTTACTTGATTTCTTCAATCTACTGACTTTGATTTGCTTTAAACGACAGTACACATTGAGCATGAAAAGAAGCTTAGAAAATCATCTGCCAACTGAAAAAAAAATATATATATTTCTGATATGACGATGATGATGGTATAAATGTCGAGCAAGTTGTTAATCTGTTTTTCTGTACGTCTGTTTGTTCATTCATTGTTATCTGTTTCTGCTTCTTTAACAACAGCTGATCAAACGATTGGACCACCCGTGGGCCAATAAATCACCTCGATTACGTGCACGAACGTCGACAGCGTTATCAAGTAGCAATGTGCTTTTGGTTTTCGTTTTTCTTGGTCTCTGTAAATTATTGTGAAACGTACGGTATGGTTTATAAATCTGCCAAAAACTAGATTTTGGTACTAATGTAAAACAACCATCTCTCACGTGTTCATTGGTTGCAATTTTACTTGGATGATAGTATGCAATTTCTGGCAGAACAAAATATACCGCACGTGCCTTCTTGAAACTGGAAGCAGAAACGACAATAATTAAGGGAATTTTAAGAAGCACTTGAACGATGATCCTACAAAATAACGGCCAGGCCCGCCATGCCTAGTAATGCACATTAAATACAGAGCGTGAGGCTACTAATAACATCACCATATATTCTTCCGCTGTATATTTTGATTCATGGCTTTCATTAAACAATTAGGCAAAAGTGCGTGAACTTGAAAATGAGGGGAAAATACGTGAAGTGCATTATCGCCTACACGGAGTGCCAATTCATCATCATTAGGTTATAATTACACTTAATTCACCGGCCATCGGGGACGGACATGCACTCAAAACTGATGACAAATTGCCTCGACAAATTGTCCCACTTTTTTTCCAAAAAGTCTTTCGCTATAGTATTTTTGCATGTGTTACATGTAATGTCATTTTCCTAAAATGCTTGATTTACCACTGATGCTAAAATATTGTTTTCACGACATTGCTATAACTTGATGATGACGCATCCCCATGTACATGTAATGCAAAAGAAGTTTAACCGTTATACATTGGGGGCTGAGCCAAAGGCAAGGGAGAAACTACATGTGCTCAGTGTAGCTATAAATGATTTGTAGGTTTCATTGCTGCACCCTCGCCTTCAGCTTGAAAATGACACAGTTATATTTACTTTTTTTCATTATACATTGTACCTCCAGTTTCTTTGTTGCCATTATGTGCGTGTACAATGTATGAGTTTCTTTAACCATTTTTATGTCTTGTTTGTAGTTATTCTTACCAAAAGGATTGGTAAAACAAGGGGTCCTATGCACATGTATAGGCCTATCCTACAATGTAGGCCTACATGTGCACTTACTCATTTTCCGAGAGTTCGATAATGTTATAGTATACTCGTTTTCCAACCTGTCTTACCCTTTTTCTCTGGTGTTTCACTTTTCCCACTTACTAATTTCTGTTTTTTGTCATTTACTATTCACATGTTCACGGAGTTGGATCGATCTACGTAGAACGATAGTTTCATTGGAAATGAGCCCTAACAATCCACACATTTTTAGACAGTGAGTGATAATCCAGTATAAGAGTGATAAATAAAGATACAATAAAACGAGTTGAAAACCATAATACACAAGTCAAAAGCATATGATAACTTACATGCACAGTCTCCGTTGCGCTGTTTACATAACATTGACAGTAATGGCTTCATTGTAAC